AAAAATAGGTAAATATGGTTGTATATATATATATATATATACCTGATAAGGTGTCACCGGCCGTTACACCTTTGTAGCCGTAATCACAAGCTAGTTTTATACTCTCCGATGCATATCTGCAACTCAAATCGTCGTATTTTAATACGTACATCCCTTCATATATAATTTCCTCTAAATAATCATGCACTCTAACGTTGGTGTTTATCAAAAGCATGTTTAACGATTTGTTATATCGAAAAATTTTGTTGGTAAACATACGTTTGGGGACAGGAGAAGAGATCGCTACAATTTGTCCATGAAGGTATATCGTCGGTCCATGAGCCCTGCGTCATATCAATCATAGAAGTAATTAAACAAATCGTTAATTAATTAGGGTTGTAATTATAATCGGTTAATTAGAGAATGTTATTACATCAGTGATGTTTCTCTCGAGAGCCCTTTGGAAGAGATCCAAGTTCTTGTCGTAATAATCTGCAAGAGCCGTGAGAATGATGTCCCTGTCCCATACCTGAATTCACTTGTATTGATTTCAATATATTTTTATTTAATTTTTCATTATTATGTAATGAAATTAAAAATCGGAGCTTACATGATGTAAGTTTGATTTGCGCCTGAACCATCGCAACTCTATTGTGTTTCCTCCTTCGTCACTTGTGAATCCCACATGCATCGGCTGTGCATTTATAATCAGAGGAAAAATCCTTTAATACATCGTAAATGAGAAAATTACACATTTAATTTACATTTTCTTAGTCTTATTGTATTAGGAGAAATTCTTTTATGAAATTAGGGGTATAAAATGATTTTTTTATAATAAAAAAACTCTTGCTATTATGGATAATCATAAAAAGAAGGAATTATGACCTGATGAATGTCCCCCATGAAATGGGACAAGAACAAAAGGGCCTCTGTCATGTTATCTGGAGAAGATTACCATGATTAAGATTAATCACATCCGTATGTAAAGGATTAAGGGAAAATCATAAGCTTATACGTACGTACGTACGTTTCAGGTCAGTTCCCGCGACGTAGCGTTGAAGCTGAGAGGTGAAGTTCTGGATCGCACCATCCACACACCTATCTTCCGCCCCATATTGATCATGGCAATCCCCTGAAATATATATACATATAGGTATATATAATTTGCCAATGCCGAGCGAATCTGAGATTTTTGTTTGTTTTGATGCAAATTTGTATGCGGAAATAGTTTGTTGTGTTGGAGTAAAATGAAGAGATCCTTGATCTAATAATGCTTTTATCTAAATAAAAACCCTACAATGATAATAAAATGCATACCTTTTTTTTATACATTTTCTGATTTCAAATCATATTTTGTAGGAATAATATATAACGCTATGGTCTAATCTCATAATGTTGCACTTACGATTTTATCAAACCCTAAACTATATATAATAAATAACAACAGGCAGCAATATATATAGTGTAATAGAGATGACGTGATATCCTATATAGGCTATATACATATATATGATGTATATACACAAAATCTGAATCAATTACTGATTTTAAAAAGAAAAGAAAAAGAGTAAGGAAGGTTAACTAATTACGCATGTAATTGTAGTTGCAAGCGTTGTCGGGAGTGTTGATGTAGTGAAGAGGACTGCTCCAACGGTAGTTGTACCAGATTCTGACCTTGTCCGGCCACGTACACAGTGCCGACAAATCTCCCTCCACATATTCCGGTAACAGATTCTCCACCTCTCTAGCTGCCCTAGATTCCAAAAGATTCTGTCCCAATCATACAAACCCAAAAACGGAATCTAAATCTGTCATTTCCCTTATCTAATGCATTGTTTTCCTCAAGATTTTAACAATACCCAGAAATTGACTAAGAGAAGATTTATATTACCTGGGCGATTCGGCATGTGAGGATATGACCTTCCTTACTCCAACCATGGACCGACAAAATCCAACACGAAGCTACTATACTTAGTACGAGAATCGATTTGAAACATGACCTAATTATGACCATATCTTCTTGAACTCAGTTCTTGTAATGAACAACAACGCCTTTTGATATCTTATGATCTTTCTCCACAAATAACCTACCCTTTCGTCAGCCTTGTACAGCCATATCATATATATATATATATATATATGGAGAGAGAGTGAACATGTAAGCAAATGGTTGCATTTGTGTGCAAGCAAGAACATGCAGACTCCACGAGGGTTTGACCTTCAAGAGACCAATCACATTGCGCTTAGAGCATATTCTGTGGTTACATAAAGCATCTTACCATGTGCATATGCTTGTTCTTTTAAAATTACGATATCAATCTCATATTTTATTTATATTCAGCTCGTGTTATGAATGGGATTTTTTTAAAAAAAAAAAAACACGTAAGAAGTCGATAACATTAATGCGATAAGATCAGATTCAATGGTTACAACGGCATCTTTCTATGTGACAACGCCTTTTGAAATTAATATATCTAGCATATAATATAATCCTATTTATGTATATTTTCAGATTTAGCTGGTGTTTTGGAATCCGTATCAGTATCAATCAAGTCTAATATTGTAATATTTTTCATACGTGTTCTTCAGATAAGCATGACGAAAAATAATAAATATTAATTAAGAAATGGGTCTAAGATGGAAGAGAGAAGAAACGTAAGCATGATCAACGGTGGAGGACACAGGTTGAGAGATAGAAGCCACATCAGCCGTCCGATCACGAAGAGATTTCAATCTCCTCATTTTCCGTAGTTCAATATACTATGTTTGTTTGGTTTTCGTTTGACCTTAGATTAGCTAAATCTATCACTTCTTTTTTACCATATGATTGAAAATTATCAATACACATATGAACTATTTTTTTTATAGAAATATATCAATTGTATAAAATTATATAAAAAAAATATATAAATTTTCACAGTATTATCAAATTAATACTGAAATAATATATATGTATATCCATATAATTTGGAGTGATTAATCATACTAAATCATTTGTCATTTGTTTAGTTAAACCAATATTTTTATCTTAATTAATAAATACGCCCTTATTTGGACAAGTGGGGAGACGGTTGCATTCTTTCCAATTTCCATGAACATATATATATACACACACATATATATATATTATCATATAGATGATTTTTTATCAATGTCTTGCTTGTCGGAGGAGATACATGTTATTCTAGAAAGATATTAATTCGGCACATTTTAACATTTGGGTTATTATATTTTTAAATAAAAATTTTAGATATTATTAATAAAATTTTACAAAATCAGGTTATTTGTATATAATTTTCTCTTAAAATATGAATTTTAAACTCATGTAAAAAAAAAAGAAGGTAAATGTAGAGGGATAAAACAAGCTAAATGAGATCTTATTTACATATACCAAATTTTGACGTGAAAATTTGGAACCTCTTGTTAATTTAAGAGTTTGGGGTTTAATATCAAAATGTATAAAAATTTGGGGCATGAAGGGAGGAGATTGCTTTGGGTTGCTGGTTTTTTTTTTTTTTTTTTTTTTTTGGGCTAAATCTGGGGAACACTTCATTGACGAATCTCGCGTCAAAACGGTGAAGGTCTACTTGTTCTCGTCTTGTCTTCTTGTTCTTCGCTGCTTCAACCAATCACTGATCGATCAGGTTCTCATCTACTTCTCTTTCCTTGTTATTGTTTCTGCAGATTCAACACGAAAAGTTCCGATTTTTCAGCTAACCCATGTGTTGAAATGTGCGAAATTTGCCTAGAGTGTCCGAAATCGTTACCCATTTAAGCTCGATTTGTGGGTTCGTTGCTTAATCTAGAACTGGATTCTTAGATTCTGTACGGATAACGTGAAGGAGAACTTGAAGATTTGTCTCTGGGTCGAGATTTTTGCTGTTTGTTGGGTTTAAAGTGTTGAATATGTAATGTCGGAAGAGTTTATCAGAAGATTAAATGGGCAAAGAATTGTCAAATCCTATGAGATAATTGGATTCTTTGAGCTGATTTCTCTGTTATGTGTAAAAGTCTTTGGATCCTGTCGGATTTGTTGCCCTTTATGAAACCGCAGTTCCGAAACTGCATCTGTATCTAAGGGATCTACTTTATTCTTGGCTTTGGTTCTTGAGCACACCGTAATCTCCATGTCAGGAAAAGTATCTCTTGTGCTTGTCAGTTCGATATGGGGTTTGTCTGAAACTTATCTAAAACATCCAATTTTTTTCTCCTAACTTCACTTTTCTATCCTTGGTTTTTGGTGCAGAATGATAGACCTATCTACCCTATCTCCTGTGCAGCTCACCGTAATGGGATCGGCCTTTTGTGTGATGGTGACTTTACACTTCTCGGTCCAGCTTATGTCTCAGCATTTGTTTTACTGGAAAAACCCAAGGGAACAGAAGGCAATCATTATGATTATCCTTATGGCTCCAATCTATGCGGTTAACTCTTTCGTGGGTTTGTTAGATGCCAAGGGGAGCAAAGGGTTCTTTATGTTTTTGGACTCGATCAAGGAATGCTATGAGGCACTTGTATGTTTTCGCAACACAAATCCTTTATAATCTCTTCCCGTCACCGTTCTGTGTATCTAAAACTACCCTACCGTGTTGTTGCAGGTCATTGCGAAATTCCTGGAATTGATGTATAGTTACTTGGACATATCGATGACCAGACACATTATCCCGGATGAAATCAAAGGGAGAGAAATCCACCATTCCTTCCCCATGACTCTCTTTGTGGTATGCATTCAGTTCTATAGCCTTTCAACTTAGGGTTTGATGTTGATTCTCCATGAAAACAGTTTTGGTGATTGTCTTTGATGTTTCTGTCTCTGCAATGGCAGCCCCGTACAACCCGTCTAGATCACCGTACGCTGAAACAACTCAAACAATGGACATGGCAGTTTTGTGTAATCCGGCCAGTGTGTTCCATCTTGATGATATCACTGCAAATTCTGGGGGTTTATCCTGCATGGTTAAGCTGGATCTTCACCATCATTTTGAACGTGTCGGTTTCGCTGGCCTTGTATTCTCTGGTGATATTTTACCATGTTTTTGCCAAGGAGTTGGCCCCTCATAAGCCACTTACAAAGTTCATGTGCATCAAAGGGATCGTTTTCTTCTGCTTTTGGCAGGTAATACTCACCGTCTAACCATTTTATTTCATGTCGTCATCAGGTTCTTGCCTTCTATTTTTCACATTATGAAAGAACAGAGTATTGACCATGCGGAAAGATCAACCAGCTAAACTAGTAAAACAAACTATTGTGAAATTTAGTATGTTTTATCGGTTGGCCCTTGAACAAACATCTTGCCCTGGGACGTTCTGAGGTTCAAACATATCTAAAACCAGTGAATCGAACAGAGTCCATTCTCTAGAGCTTTGGTGCATTTAGTTTAGCATGTTTTATCATGTAACATGTTGACAGAGAGCATTCATGATACAACAAATTGTTGCCATCATCCTTTTTTTTTGTGTATTATCTTTTCTTTCCGCCATTGTAGATCCTATCCATCAAAGTTATTCGGGTTTTACCCACCGTTCATTTACAGGGTGTAGTGCTGGAAATACTCGTGGCGATGGGTGTTATCCGATCCCATCATTTCTGGTTGGAAGTGGAGCAGCTCGAGGAAGCGCTCCAAAACGTTTTGATATGTTTAGAAATGATCGTCTTCTCGGTTCTTCAGCAATATGCTTTTCATGTTGCTCCTTACAGTGGGGAAACCGAAGCCAAGATGAGAATCAACAAGAAGAAAGACTGATTTTGGGGAAAGACCTTTTAAAGAAATTAGCCTAGAGTTTGCAAATGAGGAAGAACAGAGAAGTTGGATCTGGTGAAAATGAAGATTGGTTGAAACAGAGAAAGTAATAGAGAATAGAGATGTTTGTTCTTGAAGAGTCTTTGGGTATGTAGATGTGTTCTCTCAATCTCCAGTTCCAAAACATTGGGAACAAGAATGAATTGTGTGTTGCGCTGATAGGAATAAAGGATTGCCCAGAGGTTGTAAATTCCGGTTTGGTTTGGTTTAGCTAAACCGGTGAATTAGAAGACTGAATCAATTAACTCGGTTAGTACTTTGGTTTAGTTCGGTTATGTCTCCATGGCATAACAGGGAAAATGAATGCCTTGCTCCTTGGTTTCTGTATGGAGTAAATTTCAATGGTCCTTATGAAAATACAAACAATTATTAATAAGATGTGATGTTAAAAAGTTTTTTTTATGCTTTTAGTGAATGGAAAAAAATATAATAAATTCAAGAAGCAAATATGGAAATTTCATTAATAAAAAGTTTGTGTGAAAATAACAAGACACTTATCTCTTGCATTTGGACGGTTCTTGTAATGATGGGTCTTGACTCTTTGATCCAATTTGGCAAAGACAATGACAAAACCCTTTCGTTCAGACATTGGGCAAAACAGTTCATTGAATCAGTCCCCCTATACATCTATCTATATGTATGTGTGTGCGTATAGCAAAATTTTAATTAAAAATTAAATTAATTTAAAAAGTAGAATGGATATAAACTTTCTAAGTTTAAAAATAGTACAATAAAAACAAATCTCAAATTGAATTTATACAGAACAATTGACCGATCTCATGTCTCTTTCTCCTAAAAATACACGAGTTTTAATTTTTATATATATATATACATTTAAAATTTAGAATTACTTAGACTTAAGTTTTTTAATATCAGTTTGTTCTATACACACACACATATGTGTTGTGTGTGTTTTGCTTTCCTATGCTAAAAGAGTACTCAGAACGGTCTGATATAGAGCCGTCCAATAGAGGGGGCAAGTGGAGTTTTGGCATATAACCCTCAATTTGTTGGGGCCTCATTTTCTTTCTAAAAAAAATTTAAAATTTAATAATTAATAATATTTTAAATAAAAAAGATAAAATCTTTTATTCTTATGGTATATTTTTTCTATGGTAAAAAAAAATTAGAAGAATTATAAAAATATAATTTGATAAAAATATTAATAATTTTAAAGCAATATGTATTTTTAAAAAATTAAGCAAAATAGGAAATGATATAACTTATTTTATACTAATTTTATTTTTACTTTTTCTCGTATAAGTTGAAATTTATTTATTAATTGGTATATTTTAAAATTTATTAAATATTTTTAAAAACTTTTTTATTTTTATTTGAGAATTGAATTAAAATATAAAAAAATTTGATTATCGGGTAAAAAATTATAAAAACAATAAATATTAATATATAAATATTTTAAAATAATATATATGTATATATATATGAAAAGAACCTTATGAGACGGCCCTAAATATGTTCTAATCTTTTTTTTTGTGCTAGTGAATTCTAATAACTATACTGTTTTTTTATGTAATCAATTTTGACTCCAACAAGTAAAATATATCACAAATAGGTCAAAAATATTATTTGTATGGTTTAAAGCAATTAAAAAAAAAAAGCAAGTTTCATGAGAAGTGGTATGTTTTGCCATTACCGCAACCCCACTTGTCTACCATTCCATTTAGTTCAACTATACCATGACAATGATATTTGATTATGTATTTCCTATACAAAATTCCTAGGATTATATTGTCCAAATAAATTTTTAAAAGTATATTTCAACATTAATTAAAAAAGATACAAGCACATATACTCTATTAAGACGTCTAATTTGTGCTGTTTCAGATGTTTTAAACGGCAAAATAACAAAAATAACCTTAAAAATGACAAGAGCAACAACCATAACCTTAGAATCTCTAGGGTTTCCCAAAAAACCAATATTTTTACTAAAATTACGGAAATACCAGAACAACTAGTATGACCAAAATTTGAGGTATGACCAATTCAAACGGTATAACCAGTCTGACTAAATTTCTGTTAGTCTGACTAAATTTCTGTTAAGTTTGACAATTTACGTTTGGTATCAGAGCCAGACAACGATTATGGATAACGAAAAAATTGATTTTTCGAAAGGATTACCATTAATATTAACCAATGAGGATGAATGTTATCCTGGATTTCCTTATAAAGGAAAGGTGATAACAATACCTAAAAATCTTCATAATCAAAGCCGATATTATATTGGTACCATCTTTGATGATGATACTAATCATAATCTCGGAAATAAAATAAAGAAAATAGGTTTTACCCTAAATAATATTGTTGAAATGATTTCTTATGGAATCATACATCAAAATCCAGAAAATCACGAAGAATTAAAAAAAATATTGAAAATATAAAATCAGATTTAGAAAATCAGCTACAAAAATTAATAAAAATATTCGAACAAAACCATGAAAAACAAGATGAAACTAAAAATATAAACAAAAAATTAGAAGAAATAATATATCTACAAGAAAAAAGCATTAAAGAAATGAAACAAAACTCTGAAGAATTAAAAGAATATATTAAAACAATAATAGGATGACAGAAACTATGAAAGAAACTATAGAAAAAATAATTAAAGAAACAACAGCTGAAATAAAAGAATTACTACTAAATATAAAAGAAATACTCACGACAACAAATAATTACAGTTATAATAACAGAAAAATTCAAATAATAAAAGAACTTAACGAAGCTAAAGAATTAGTAAAAAATATTATTACAAAAAATGAAGGAAAAGAAATAATAAATCCAGACGAAGATGAAAAACCAAAAATTCTAGAAATAATAGAACAATTACAAGAAATAATCGAACGACTTAATCAAAATAAATATATCACTATAAAAGACTTACAAAGTTATTTTAAAAAAGAAACAAAAGAATTAATTATTATCGATAAATCTAATTTTCGAATTAGATCACCACCAAAGATATAATGGAAGGACTAGATGATCAGATAGAAAGATTATCAACATTATTAGCGGCTCTTAATATACCCGAAGAAGAGCAACCTGATGAAACTGAAAAAATTGTCTTAGACTATAGCAGCGATGAAAATCCCTACGAAAATCCATTCCTAGTAAAAACCGAACTAGAAAGGGGGGAGAATAGTAATAATAATACATTACCTAAAAAACGAACACATGATGAATATCAAGGATATAAAAATCACGAATATGAACTATACCAAAATCAATATATTCCGAAAGGGAACAATTGGAGAAAAGTTCCTTTTGAATATATTCCAAAATATGATACATTTAATATAAAATCCTCAGAAACATTAAATTTAGATTGCGAAATTAATCCAACTAGAACACTAGAAGATTGGAAAAATCGTACAAGTTTGTTAATACAAACTAATAAGGAATTAAGAGAATTACATCCTCACGAAATGTTAAGCTACTTAGAACATAAAACAACGGGAATAGTATACAACTACTTAATAGGATTATCAACAGGAATAAAAGCAGAAAAAATTCTAAGATCAACTGCATGGGAAACATTTGTTAGGCTAATTGACGTAATAGGAGAAGAATTCCTTGGAAGAACTTCTAACGCACAATTAAGAGAAACACAAATATCAGAAGTAGCACTATGGAAAATAGTAAATCTTAGAATTTGTAACATGTGCTATCTTGAAGCATTCATTTGCGAATTTAGAGATCATTACTATCAACTAGCGACAGATAAGAAAATAGTAGCCGAAGAATTATTCTTTGATAAATTACCGCTATCAATATCAGAAGAAGTAAAAACTATATTTCAAAATAAAGTAAACGAGGGACAAACCCCCAATACTTTGGGAGGAAGAATAACAACCTTAAAAGATTGGCACTTATTTCAATGCAACCAAGAAAAACGAAAACAAGAGGCAAAAATCGATAAATTATGTTGTGCTGCAATACCAGGAAAAATAGGTAAATATGGTTGTGAACCTATTCGCCAAAAACATAAGAAAAAGAAATGGAGAAAAATTCCATATAAAAAATACAAGAAACAAAAATATATACCACAAAAATATTTCAGGAATAGAAAACAATACAAAAAGAAAAACTATGGTAAGAAGGACACATACTGCCCTTCTAAGAAAAAGAATTGTAAATGTTGGCTATGCCAAGAAGAGGGACATTATGCAAATGAATGTCCTAAAAAAGGAAAGAAAAAAGAAACAGAAATACTACGAATAACATACGATATGGGCTTTGAACCAATCGAATCAGATTCAGAGTTTGACTCTGACATCGAAATATATGCATATACCACTGAATCATCCGATTCAGAAAATGAATAGAAAAATACTAAAATCAGGAAACC